TGCCAAAATTGTGAAGCTTCACGTGTAAGAGATCATGGCTCAGACTTTGTCGAAAGCTTTCGCGAAATCAAGATAGATAGTGTCAACTTGGCCCCTTTTCTCTAAGACATATTATGAATCTCGTGAAGAACATAAAGCATCTGGGTAGTGCAGACTTGCCGCTTTGAGAACCGTATTGAAGATCATAAAGTTGACTTGAGAGGTGGCCAATAATTCTATTGTAGATGCAACGTTCGAACATCTTGGAGACCAGCGACAAAAGTGATATTGGTCTATAGTTGCAGACTTCATGGAAAGGACTTTTCTTTGGAATTGGACTGATATTAGACAACTTCCACTCCAACGGCAGTTTTTCACAAGATAAACTCTTGTTGAAAAGTTCGCATAAAGATGAACTGATGTTAGCTGCGCAGGTTTTTAGCAATACCGCCGGAATTTTGTCAGGACCAGTGGCTTTGTCTACGTCGAGAGTTTTAAATACACAACAAACTTCTCCTTCAGCTAACTCGAGATCTGAGATGGTTATTAGGTTAATCGAATCGTCATCAGTAGGAAGAGGGCTGCGATGAGCGGCATCACATGGTTTAAACACGGAGTAGAAGTAGCTTTTTAGCAGGTTAGCTATATCGATTGGATTTTCAGCTGTTGTGGGAGAAAAGTCTTGTTGGGTCCATGTCATTTTTCCAGGAATGTTCGAGCGTTTGGAAGTGGCTTTAAACACTGACCAGAACTTTTTGCTGTTTGATTTTAACAGTGTTGGAAGAGATTGAAAGTACTGTGTGCGCTTGGTTCTAACTAAAGACTTAGCTGTTCGTCGAAGTTCGCAGAATTTTTCCCAGAGTCTAGGACACGACGTACGTTTAGCTTTGTTCCTGCACGAGTCCTTTTTTGAGAGAAGACGCCTCACTTCACCGTCAATCCATGGAGGAGTGTTACGCCGCTTGAATGTTTTGACTGGGATATGCTCAGCAGCAACACCGAGGAAGAGATCTTTCCACCGTTCCCAATCAGTGTTGACATCACTGGACTCGCTAGGTGATAAATCGCCCATATATATATATATATATATATATATATAAGATAAGATGAAAATGTTCTAGAGTGTGTATTATATAATTTCCATACCCAGCGCAAGCGGAAAGATGTTGTCTGCCGCGGCTGGGTCTCGAACCCGCGACCTTCGAATTACTAGATCGACGCTCTACCTACTGAGCTACACGGTCAGACGGATTTAAGACTGGAAATTATGAAATAATTTCATAATTTCCAGTCTTAAATCCGTCTGACCGTGTAGCTCAGTAGCCCAAAACACATATAAGCAGCCCTATTTTTCGAAACTTGTCATACCGCCTGATGATTCTTTACTGATGAAACAGACTGTTGCGGAATTTTGAGGTAAGCGAAATTATATATATATATATATATATATATATATATATATATATATATATATATATATATATATATATATATATATATATATATATATATATATATATATACATATATATATATTATTATTATATTATTATATATATATATATATATTATTATATTATATATATATATATTATTATATATATATATTATTATATATATATATTATTATATTATATATTATATTATATTATATTATATTATATATATATTATATATATATTATACATATATTATATATATATATATTATATATATTATATATATAATATATATATAATATATATATAATATATATATAATATATATATAATATATATATAATATATATATAATATATATATAATATATATATAATATATATATATAATATATATAATATATATAATATATATATATATATATATATATATATATATATATATATATATATATATATATATATATATATATATATATATATATATATATATGTTTGTGTATGTATATGCATGTATATGTATGTATATGTATGTATATGTGTGTGTATATGTATGTGTATGTGTATGTATATGTATATATGTATATATGTGTATGTATATATGTATATATGTGTATGTATATGTGTGTGTGTATATATATATATATATATATATATATATATATATATATATATATATATATATATATATATATATATATATATATATATAATAGGAAATAAAATAAATACATATTTTATGTCTCTCAGGTAATATATAAACGATGGAGTTCTCCGAGAGTAATATCACATACGTACCCTTTTCTAGATATATGCAAAATTAAAAGCAAAGATTAACATACGATAGCATTCCTCCCCTCGTGAGCTCATTTACCGAAGCAAATGTCCAGGCCTTGTGACCCTGGATGGGCACTTAAAGGAAGGAATACACACACACATTCGTACGCTTATTTAAGGTGACGCCACATGAAATGTTACCTGTTATGTTTCAATTATCCAACAATATGTCTCAACGCAACTCATCTCCTTGTCGCCATATTGTTCAAACAATATCAGGAAATACGTAAATGAATAAGTCAAATACTTTTGACTGAATGCTGAAAGCTACAGCAATGACCTAGAAACTACTAGCATTATCTTATAAGGTGATAGGAATAAGGTGATATGTATTTATTTTACTTCCTATCATATATATATATATATATATATATATATATATATATATATATATATATATATATATATATATATATATATATATATATATATATATATATATATATATATATATATATATATATATATATATATAGACCCAGCCGCGGCAGACAACATCTTTCTGTTTGCGCTGGGTATGGAAATTATATAATACACACTCTAGAACATTTTCATCTTAATATATATATATATATATATATATATATATATATATATATATATATATATACGCTCCTTCACTTCGGTGTTGTTGAGCACTCTGCGGAGTTGTTAATGGATGTCTATTAGCGATAATGCAAAGCTCACTTCCCTTGTGGTCGTTCGAGCACTCTGGCTCCATTACGCTCTGCGCATGTCTGGATGCGTTGAGTCACTGTGTTGTACCACATGCCTTGGTGAGAGCAAGTTCATGGGGTATTAATACGAGTGTCTCACGTATCTAGACGTGTACCAAGCTGCACTGACGAGGCGTTGAACGCCGAAACATTCATGTCTGCAGATTGTACTATATATATATATATATATATATATATATATATATATATATATATATATATATATATATATATATATATATATATATATATATATATATATTGCTGTAATTTATCTGATGAGTGAAACTAAATAGCAATCCTTAGTGGAATTTGTCGAGTCGTTATATTACAAAGTCTTTACAACTTCCCAACATGGAGTATTGGAATGCTATTGAATAAAACCGCTGAGTACTCTGGGCTCATTATGTTTATTATGTTGCTCAAACGTTTTCAAAATGGCGGATTCTTGGTTTCATTTTACAAAAGCAGTTGTAAGAAGAGTTTCTAGCCGTTTTGCCGAAGGTTCTTTGAAACTTGAAGAGCCAGAGGAAGCGATTAGTTTAACAAAAGCGAAAGAACAGTGGACGAATTATGTTGCGGCTTTGAAAGGGTTAGGGTTGGAAATTATTGAGATCGAAGCGGACGATAAGTCTCCCGATTGTGTTTTTATCGAAGATGCGGCTGTCGTATGCGATGATACTGCTCTGATTACAAGGCCCGGCCATGCGTCAAGGCGAGGGGAAACTGTCGCTGTTAGAAAAACTTTGGAAAAGCTTGGTACTATATAACTCGCTTTATAGTAATAATAAATTATAAAATTCCAGTGTGGAAAGTAAAAGTTTGCTTTCTATATATTTACAATTAAATTTCGAAATCTTGGCCGCGCAATTTCCAAACTAGTCAGAATCAGGGTCTTAGCTAGGATCTTAGATCTTGGGCGTGTTTCTAATGGCCAGGGTGTGCACATGTCAATTACCCTGAATAGCCAAATTCACGGTTCTATAGTTAATATGCTTGCCACTGTGTGACATATTCGATATTCCAACACTGTTCAATCTTGTCCCCCGAGCCTGCGATCCTCGGGAAGGAACGCAAGGCTCTGGGATGATCCGTTTCAGGGAGGGATCTGATTGGCCGTTGAAATGGAATGCATGGTTCAATCTTAGCCAGAATTCCTGGCTTCCAGCAACGGTTTATCCCAGAGCCTCGCGTTCCTTCCCGAGCATCACAGGCTCGGGGAACGAGATCCAACACTGTTTTGTATGTCAATATAAATATACAATACAAACAGACCTATTTTATTCTTAACAAGCTTTCGTTGGTAGGGACACAACTACCTGAAAAATGTAAGGAGAGTTGTGACGTTTCAAGCAAAGGCCCTTTGTCTGGAGTTACTAGCAGGGGTCGGGAAAATTACATAAGTTTTATACTAAGAATATGAAAGCATCATGTGACAAAAAATAAACCAATCAGATAGATTTAGTCAAAACAAAGTGTAAACAAAAAAAGTAAATCACATTACAGAATATATTACTGACAAATATACAGAAAACTCCAATTGTCTTTCAGGTCTAAAAATCATTGATATGACAGACCCGGCATTATTGGATGGTGGTGATGTTTTGTTCACAGGTCAAGAATTATTTGTTGGTCTTACGTCCAGAACTAATAAAGAAGGCGTTGAATCTTTGGCAAAAGCCTTTCCCAAGTATCCAGTTACAGCTATCGATATGGCTGAAGAAGGTAATGTATTTCTTCCTTCAAAAACAACCTTCCCAAACTTGAATCCTTTGACATCAATCGATTGCACACTTCGAAGACTTAGTGTTTCTAGTATCGTTCCTACAATCCAACTTGCTGTTCGTAAAGGTCAATTTATGCATTTTTCATGTTAATATTTTTTCAAATATATCAGTTTGTTATGTGTGTTTGTGTCCCTAAATATGTTGTAACTATCAATTATTCGCCGAAGGCGAAGTGATTACCGGTGAATATTCACCGAGACGAAGTCGAGGTGAATATTCACCGTAATCACTGAGCCTGAGGCGAATAATTGTTTTAGTATAAATTTTTAATGAATAAAACAAAATATCCAAGTTATCCAACTATAAGTTTAATTAAAATTCAGAAATAAAACTGTTTTCGACCGGTTTACGGTTTAGTGTTGCAGTGTTTCTTGTACACGCACGCTTTCAAAATGGCTTCCTGTGCGACTTTATTGCTTTATTACAAAGTTATTTTTCTCGATTTCTGCTTAGAATATAAACACAATGATGGAATGACTTTTTTACCAGACTTAGAATTAAAAAATAGTTTCTGTTTAGCATTAATTTGTTCAGGAAATGGCTGAGAAATTTGGTAAAATGAAATGTAAAACTATATCGTTCGAATTAATATAAAAGTTTTAATACACTTTTCACTTTATAAGTTTTAAAAACACAAATAGTACAATACAGCGAAAGGACACCATACAGCACAATGAAAACACGACATAGTCAAAAGAAATAGTATCGTACAAATTGAGATATTTATAGGATACAAAACAAAATTGTTTTAAAAAGAATATCACGGCTTTTCCCAAAAGTCTGGATATTTTTTGCTATTTGAGATTTACGTTTGAAGCGAATGTTTCGGAGTTTTAAATAAGTTTTAAATTGTCCGTGAATATGTTTGACACAGTAATATAATACTAAATCCTACCTTTCAAGTTAAATACAACATTTTGTGCTTTTTTTCTTTTTCTGGGACGATTTTTTCCATATTTTGTCGATTTTGAAACCAAATTTGCCGAATCATTCTTTTTGAAAAGCATTATTTACTACCCAGGTGGTAAATAATGCCTCAGATTTACTAGTCAACTAGCCAATCAGAACGCGCGAAAGCTCATTTGATATGCAAAATTTATACTAAATATATATATATA